TTGTGTGTGTGTGTGTGTGTGTGTGTGTGTGTGTGTGTGTGTGTGTGTGTGTGTGTGTGTGTGTGTGTGTTTATAATTTCTATATTTATAATAGATATACAGATTATTATTTCCATTTAATCTTTTTTTACTTTCCATTAAATTTTTTTTAATTTTATTTTAGAACAGAATTAGAATATATTTTTATATCAATGATTGATCTATATCAATATTCTTCCCAAGTAAACGCTGACAAATGTATTCATTTTATCGATGTTCTTATTTCGTATTCAAGTAAAGGCAATATTTTTTAAGTAGCAGATCTATAAATTTTTTGGATGAGTCATTTAATGTTTTACTTGTAGATGCATTCGCAAAATCGGTGAAATATATTTTGGATGAGCCTCTATGTAGCACGTGTTTGACTTTCTCGCGTGCTCATGCTTTCTTGCGATGCAATTGATTGCCAACTCGCACATTTGCAGCGGAAGTGCATGACCCAATGGAAATACATACTCGATAATAAAAAAATCTGACCGACATGCATAACAAACCCACAATTATAATTAATAAAAAAAAAGATTTATTATTTTTCCACGATTAGATCGTATATAATTGTAATAAAATATATATGCATTCTCTTATTTGTATATAAATAATTATCATTCATAAATTTATAATATTTTATTGTTTTTAGGATATAAATTAGGATAAAGAAAGAGAGAAAGGGAATATATAAATTAATTATTTTCTTTTTGCATTTGCATATTTTTGTATTTGAATATATGCATAAATTTGTTATTATTACATGTTAGTCTTTTTTTACTAAATATGTAATTTTTTACTAAATATGTAATTATATAAATACATTAATACATGTAATAAATAATAACTTTGTGAAAAAAATTGGTAATATCTAGCTGAAATAATGACATGAGCATTTCCAATTAGTTTGAGACCATCACGAACATGGTTTGGAACTGAACGCATATCATATGTCATTTATCAAAGAATTCACAACTTCACTTTGCTACAAAATTGCTTATTGCTATAACATTTGTGAAATCACGAATTGCACATTGATGTTATTTACCTCGTCGATTATTCCAAAATGTGAAATTTTTTTTTGTTAAATTATTTTTGCAGAGATATATATTATTTATATCATTATAAATTGCAAATACTTTTTAATAATTTATATTACAAGTGTATCAATATATATAACAATGTATCAATATAAGTATATAAGTTATCTACAGCGTTTTTTCCGTGAACGTGTATAAATATTAATTTGTAGCGCTTCTAACACGGTAATGAAACTTTTCCCCGATGCGATCTAGATCGATCGAAATATAATTAAATTCAAACTGAAACAAAGTTTGTCCAGCTGTGCGAAAAGAGGTCGCGGATTCTAATGCCGCTCTCTATTTCCATCTGTTCTCTTCTCTATTTTGCAATGAGTCGTAGAGAAAATCCGCGAGATCACTTGTCATAACGTCTGCCAAGTCTGTGCCCGTGGAGATTTCAAGAGCTTTCCGCGTGCTTTCGAACGAGATGACAATGCGTTACGGCCTCGACTAAAATGCGTCGCTATGCACCCTGTGCAATCGCGCAATACTAACCGGCATTCGTCATCCAACGTATGTGCCGGTGTACGTCACGTGCGAAATTTTTCACATATCCATGCTCTTCGCAAATTTGCAATCTCAGCCGCAGGTTATACTATCCGCGACTGCGGATTCTCGATCATTCTCTTTTTCTCGTACGATTCCGATAAACCTCATATTTTGTAACCTTATATTTTGAATTATGAGTTGTGAAGAATGGAGAAAATAAAGAAAATCGCAAGGTTACAATTTTTCGATAGAAGAGACTTTGAAATCGCGCATATAATAAAGTTAAAATGTACTAAATAAAAATCTTTTAATGTCGAAATTATCTTGGACCAAACCTTTGAGGAATATGAATTGAATTATTATATAAATTATATAAAAATAACTAAAAAATACTATTATGATTCACCATAATCTATGTCGCTATTAAATAACGAGCACGTTCGCCATATCTCGTCTCTTAATGTAAAGAGCAATTTACTTTATTACGTTTGTTCGGAGGAAATAAAGTACTCGCATAAGATTAGGCGCGTACTTTTCGTGACACACGAACGGCGTGTTTAAGGAAATTTTATAACCTGCATTTAAGATAATCTTTCTATTTTCTTCTTTATGTCTGTTGCGTCTCTCGAGATTCTATCTAGAATAGGACTAAAAAGATATTATAGGATTCTAGATGTAAAAACACCAAATTTTTTTAAATTAGCGGAAGCCAAAATGTTGCAAAAAGTTATATTCTTTTGAAAGGCTTGTCGGTTTCTTCTGTCATTTCTCATTTTTTTCTAAATATTTTTTAATCCCTTTTTTGATTCGTGGTTAATAATTCCTATCTATCCTGCCAATTACGTGTTTCTGTCACGCTACTCCGCACGTGATCGACACTTGAGTAATTAAAAGTTGTTATTTGACTCGAAAATTTGACATCTCTAATTTATAGCTTAAAACATTTATTTTTGTTCGCATAATTTGCATAATTTATTCGATTAACGTCTTAAACAGCGCTTTTTGCAAAGCTTTTTTGAATTTTGGTAATTAAAAAAAGCTATAGCGTAAAAGCTCATATATCTATTTTATTCGCTTCTTTTGCAGTTTTTTAATATAAACCTATTCATCTTTTTTATATTTAATATAAAATAACAATTATAAAAGAGCGAAGAATATGTTTCTGATCGTAATTGTAAGATTTTCGCATTTTTCGTTAAGATTAATTTTCCAAACCGCTGTCGCAGAGTGTTTTCTCCCAGCCGATTTATGGCTGTCACTCGTTGGGTAACTCGTAATCGTGTTTATGAAATTAAATATTTATGATGTAATCTTGCAAATGTGTGTCGGTATATGAATCACTGGTAAACCTCGATTTGATTTTGACGTGAGATATGCACGTGTTGTATGTGCGACCGGCTGCTTCAGATGGTCTCTCACGGAAAATGCATGTTGTAATCCCAAGTTATTCATGACGACAGAGTGCCATTACAATTAAATAAATTGCTTATTAATAATTAAATTTGATATATTGTATTTCAATATGCGATACATAATACATAATTATATAATATAATACTCTTCTTATAATACTCTTCTATACACCATCATCAGAACCGATACGCTAACTAATCGTTAGAGATCTAATCGTCTCCTCGATTAGATCTCTAATTAAAATCTTCGTATTGCACACCTACTCCTTCCCAATTCGATTTGTTAATGTTATATAACAACGAGTTCACTTATTACTTATGGTTGTACTTATGGTTGTATAATATCATTTTGTTTTTAATGAATAAGATAAACATCCACAACCAATGTGAACGAAAAATAATAAGTCGATTATATCGCCGTTTGAATTTGCATGGTGAAGACTTCCTTGCACACATCTCTACAATGTCGATATGTTTATAAAAATCTCAAGATCTGGAATCGTGATCAATAAATCTCTTATGAACAATGAAGGGAAATTATCATTCGAAATCGTGCAGAAAGTTTTGCGATGAGGATGAGATGATTATCGTCTGCAAAAATTGCCAACAAATAGAGCAAAATTAACCGAGAAATCCTTTTTTTGTCTTGCTCGAACACTTTGCATTGTAAAAATGTGCCTGATTAAACCCACGATAATGTACTGCATTCTGGAATTCGCGCTTAATAAATTGCCTTTCTCAAAATGATTTTTGCGTATCAAAGATTATACTAAAAGCAATAAAAACTGCAATAAGGCATTTTCATCGAATGTGAAAAGATCTTTATGTTATTATGAAATTTTTAAATCTTCCTACACAGCACAAATGACTATTTATCGACTAATTGTCGACTTTTTTCAGTTGACTTGAAATCGATTTGTAAAATCGACGTTTAGCTGACTATTTCTGTAAAAGTCAACCTAGTCGCCATAATCAAGTAAAAAATATCGGCTTATAGTTGTCATAAAGTCGACCTTAAGTCGGCTGACTTATAGTTGGGACATTTGTCGACTATTAGTCGGCTATAAGTTGACATTCAGTCTAACTAAAGTCGGTTTTAGACTTCTTCTGTCGACTTATAGTCGACTAATACGATCGACTTTGTGCTGTTTGGGTTGGTTCTGAAACAATCGCCTTTTTGTGAATTAAAGCTCTCGTTGTTCGCGATTAAAAAAAAAACTGTAACAAATTTTGCAGAAGGCTGCTGCTCGCGATCCTTTCTTTTCCAAGTTCTCGCAAGTTTTGCGTCGCGATTAAAATCGGAAAAAGCTGAACAGTTACATTGTAATAATAAGCGAGCGGTTTTACGAAATGTCGAAAGATCTAGATTTTGCCTTTTACTTGGTCGAAAAGACAATAAATTCTTGCAATTATCATGGGATCGATCTAGAAAAATCTCAGTCGTTCGCTCGATGTGCAATATAACGACTCTTATAGTTTTTTAATTGGAAGCTGGAATGAAAGAGTTGATGAAATCTTTACTGTCTCAAATTGATGATTAGAATTTTATGATTAAATTAAAAAGTTTAGATGAGTTTATGGGACGAGAAGACCCTGTAGAATTTTATTAAAATTTTTATTTATGAGTTTGTTTACAAATAAAATAAATATTTTAATTTAGTTGGGAGGATTATTATATTAATTAAATAAGATATATAAATAAATAAATAATATATAAATATATATAAATAAGATGATATTAATTTATAGATTTATGTGTATATCGTTATTGATGCAGACAACGTTTGTCCGCGGATACGCGCACGCCGTTGTACACACCGTTTCAAGGTTTTTCCTCATATTGAAGTCCGCGAATCGATTTACAGGCGGATACAACTAAAAAGAACCGAAACGGACGCAACGGATCGATTGCGATGTCGCGTGACTCGCTCCGTTGAACTTGTTCTTTTTCTTATGTCCGATGTCATGACGGTTGCATAAAACGACAATCCATGCATAATTGGACCGCATGCGCAACGTGGGTGTCGATCTCGCATGCATCTCATGAGAAGAATACGTGTCTTCGTTTATGTAATGCAACATCACGCTACTCCTTTTTGCATCTTGCTCGTGACGCGATTCATACACGTGGCCTAATTTTCCGAAGCCATCGATCGTGCGAAACGAATATCGCGGATGCGATATTCAACATCATTCAACAGCAATCGATTAGCAACACTCAAATGTCAAAATGTTCACGCGTTCGCTTCTTAATGCCAATATGCTGTTGTTATAATCGCAGTTGTAATAATTGTTATTGTTCACGTTTGATTAATCTCTCGGAAGAGGGTAATATACAAAAAATATGTCATCTTTCTTTCAAATCTGTCAATGCTGGCATTGTGCTGTGAAATATCCGCGAGAGATTCATGTAAGTCTAGCATGTATGTAAAAAGTGCATATATTTGTATTATAATTGTTTGTTAGACGATAAATATTTCCTCATTTTATATATCAATTTCAAGGTTATATATTTTAAGTTCTATAATATAAACGTAAAAATTGATTGTTATTTGCTCGCATAAATGTTGCTTAAACATATTTATTGCCGATAACTTATTTTAATAGTAATAACATTCAAAGCTCCCGCCAAAAGAGGCGTTATAGTTTGGTTCCATTTTCCGATATTGGATAAGTCAACGCTAATGTCGACAACAGTGTGATGAGCGAATTCAACACGTGGGACACGTTGTCAAAGAGTTTAAAACAATATATTTAAAACGATATTTAAAACAAACATATAGAATTCTTCTTCCTCACAACTTCTTCTTGAAAGAAACACTGACGTCACGTTTCTTCTACAAAGCGAGATCTGTATGCGAAAAGAAATCACTGTAAGTGAAGAAAATGAAATATCACTCGAGTCTGTAATTGCTGATACGTAACACTTTGGCCAACTATATAGCGTTAAGCACGTGATCTCCCTGGCTTGGCGCTAAATTTGAAACAAAGTAGAGAAATAGAGAAAATACACGGAATCCGAAAGAAAGAGAGAAAAAAAGAATTATTTTACTAAGTCAACGCGAAGGAAGCAAAAATTCCATCGTCTACAGCCATTGCTTCGTGTTCATCGATTTGTTATCGTTACACTAATGATATATTTTTATTCTTAACATCAAATTAAATCGAATCTTTGAAGAAGAATTCAATGGTCGTGCAATCGCGCATCTCTGATTTTTATCGTGATCGATAAGCGATAACGAAAGTAAATGAACTGTGACGTATTATAACAAATATACGCACAAGGTTTAATTCGATTTGATAGAGCGGATCAGCTACTCGTCCTCGATAAGGTGAACCGAGCGATAAAGCGAGGTCGTGCAAGTTAGTTGGCCGATTCGCGACTGACGACAGAAATAGAGAATCAGAAGCGAGATGCCGATCGTGGTTCATAGAGTGTCGTTCAGTCGTTTCTTGAAACTTTTAACGAATACTTCGACGTTGCGTACCGTTACCAGAATGGCGTCTACAGGATGCCAGGATCACGATCAGAAGGTCGTCCCTAAGGACGAGGTCATCAGATTTATCGAGGAATGCATGTGTAAAGCTGGCACCACGGTGGAAGACGCGCGCATCGTCGGTCATCACCTGATGACAGCGGATTACAGAGGCCATTTCAGTCATGGAATGAACAGGATGCAAATGTACGTACAGGATATCGAAAATCGAATCACCGATCCCGCCGTCCGGCCACAGATTGTCACCGATTTTCAGGTGAATGCCTTCCTCAAGTTGCTGGTGGAATTTGCACATCGCGAAAAAAAAGTTCTGTGTTCATCACAGTGTCGTGCTCGTTTTGAAATCTAGTCTATATGTGCGAGTGCGTTCGTTATCAGTTGATTATAACCGCGAACATATCAGTGATGTAAATATTTTTCGAGTATTGAGTCAATTAAAAGAGGATTTACATGTATGATACCATAAAAAATGATATTTGCATTTCACAGTAATGATGACGCCGGGAGTCTCCCCTCTTCTTCCCGCTTCTCGTTGTGCGATTAGCCTTCGTATCTCAACAACTGATGACCCGATAAGATACGCGTCTCCCTGATTAATAGGCTTTGCTTTCTTCGCCTCGGCAAAAAGGCATTTGTCGCTGACTCGCGAACCCTACATATGTTTTTCTTATCGTATTTTCGATCAGCTATAAATATTAAGCGCCTGATAGTAATTGCCCACGATGACAACATTCTATTTTATTTTCGTGCTACTCACATTCCATTTTCGTTGAAACAGAACGGAAATTTTTCAAATGTAATTCCGTTGACAATTTGACGACTGGCAACAAAAGGCAAATGATAATTAACCGTTAGCGTAATTACTTTTTAGAGTAGCGTCGCGAAAACCGCTGGCATGATTGCAAGCACGCGCGCGGTAATTTATCGAATAGACGCGCCGGTAATTTGGCGATCGATAATAAACACGCAAGCGTTAATTAGCATGGCTCTAATTATTTTACCGCAGTATTATTAACCGCGAAAATTACAAGCTGTTAGGAACATATGCATCGCGTGTATGTTACCTTAGTCGAATATGACAAGCATGATACGTATTACATATTTAGCAAATGCAATAAATGATCTCGATACTCGCGTATAAAAATTTTATTTTTAAAAAGATTAATAATTTAAAAATAAAAGCTAACTCGAAATTAAATTATGACAAATTCCACCGGACGTATATATACGTATCTCTCTAAATTTCTTGAAGTGAAATTCCACAAATGGAGTTCCGAAAAATGGAGTGATCACTGAATCATTCAAATTGGAGTAATTTTTCACTTATAAAGAGTGAATTTTTCCATTCTGTATCGTGAAGTGAATATTCTTTCATTTTTTTCAGTCTATGTTGTATGGTGAAAATATTTTAATTCTTAATTAAAGGACGAATTTAATACGCTTCGCTAGATTTATATCTAGCGAGCGGTATGCGACATTTTCATCGGATGGACGCGGTGGAGTTCTATTTCTCGTAAATAAAAATTACACAAGATAGAATAAAAGATTTTATTAATATTATAATATCATTTTAACTTAATTTTTACTTTAATCATTTTTAATGACACAGGTTTTTTGAAGGTGAATCCCCCAAAATAGGATTTCACTCTATAAAGTTCTTCCAAATGAAAACTCGAAAATGAAAGTAAATTAAATATTATTTTAACGGTACAAATATGATTAAATCATATCAATAATGATAGAATAAATCATTTACTCGAAATATTCAGTCTACAATTGAAATTAAACATTCACCCTTATAAAAAGTGAAATATCATTCCATTTAAATTGCAGTATCTTCATTATCCATTGAATTTTTACTTATGGATAACTATTTTGAGTGAAATTTCCAAGAAATTTAGAAAGAAATTTAGAAAGATCTTTTGCAATCACAATTTTCAGGCGATAGCTCTCGTGGACGGGAAGAACGCGTTGGGCCAGGTGGTTGGCAAGTATTGCATGGAGCTCGCCATAGAAAAGGCTAAAAAATTCGGCATCGGCATGATAGCGGCGCGCGGTTCCAATCATTACGGCATCTGCGGTTATTACACGATGATGGCAATGGAGCAGAGCTTGATCGGATTTACTTGCACCAATACGAGTCCGTTGATGGCGCCAACGCGCAGTATGAAGGCCGGCCTAGGAACGAATCCCTTGTCCCTGGGTATGGTCGCCTGCAACGGTGACGAATTTGTTCTCGATATGGCGACCACTGCCGTCGCTCTCGGCAAGATCGAGTTGGCCATACGAAAAGGCGAGGACATCCCTGAGGGTTGGGCACTTGGACATGACGGAAAGATCACCCGCAATGCCGAGGAAGCTTTTCGAGCGTCTCTATTGATGCCCCTAGGTGGCGCGGAACATAATTCCGGGTATAAAGGTTTCGGTTTGGGTCTGATGGTCGAAATACTCTGCGGTATTTTGAGTGGGAGTCATTTCGGGCCGAATATTCGTCCCTGGAAGACCGGTGACAAGATCGCCAACCTCGGGCAATGCTTCATGGCCATTAATCCAGAGGCATTCGCACACGGATCGAAAGAAAGATTAACGATCTTACTCAAACAGTTGAGAGATCTGCCCGCTGCCGGCGAGAAACCGATCCTGATCGCCGGTGATCCCGAAAGAGAGCACATGAAAAAAGTTGACAAGGAGGGCGGGATCACGTATCATCCAAATCAGCTGGAAGCCTCGGAAAAATTCGCTAAACATATGGGCGTGCGACCGATGAAACTCGTTTCTAAGTTTGCTTGATTGGTCCGTTTTTTTCTTTTTTTTCTTTTCTTTTTTTTTTTAATTACAAAGAGATCGATAAGAGAAAAAGATAAAGTAATTTCTTCAATTGTCGTTTTGTTTTTTTTTTTATATTTTATTCTTGGTCAATTTTTATAAGTTTTAGTATAGAGATAACATATAAAAAATATAATCGATAAACTAATTAAATATTGATTTATATTTCTCGATCACACACCAATTATTGTGATGATAAAAACAGACATAGATATTTCAATTCTGATTTACGTACCTTATATAATATTCTATTTGCACTGATTGAAAATGATTATGAATGCAATTTGTAGAACAATTGCTTCTTTAAATGATAACCTGAAAGCGTAATGAGATTGATGGTAAGACTTATAGAAATCGACGGGATGATTATATCAATCTGCGAGTTGTATGCGAGCAATGTTTGGTCTGAGGTAAATCAGTTCGCGTGTGCAATTCGATGATTTGATGTACACGCCATTCGCGTATGATGATATAACCAGCGATGCGATTTGATCGCCGGTCGATGATGATGATGACGGCCTTGGACTTGTCCGTACATTCTCGATTACAGTTGTTACGTCTTTGCGAGTGGGTGTTGCCGATAATATGGAACTTGGCATATTATCGGAAATAAATAAGTCGCAAAATACGTGAACAATCAAGATCATTGCTTTATAAATTTATAAGGATTATAAATTTTAATTGTTATCTGCGTATTGGTTATTCGTTTGAAAAAAATTTCATAAAAACGTATTCGAATCGATATATGTACATACATATATGTATATGTACAATAAGTAAAACGTATTATTTTTTATAAAAATTATATCGATTGTAATTTTATATATTATATACTTATATATTTTGTATATATTTTGATATATACAAAAATATATATTTTATAATATTGTAAACTATAATATTAAACTATTATACGAAAATACTGTAAATTTTTTCTGTATTAATGTAACTTTTATAAGACCAATCTATTTCTATGTATAATTAGACTAGATTTTAGAACTTAAAAGATTAATTTGACAAGAACCTCTTCTTGCATTTTGCTCGCTTTTACATCAGAAACAGTAAGCAGGGTTATCAACGACTGTGTCGTATAGACACGGCGTCTGACTCGAGGTTGTGTTATCAGTCCTCGAGAAAGAACAAGATTACAAACACTGGTATTCGCCATTAATTTCTTGGAACTGAAAGTTAGTTATTAAAATGGATAAAGAAAAAAAATTAATTTACTTTACAAAGTTCAGATTTAAGATATTACAGGCTTATCATGACTCATCCTCACGAGCAGTTTTGTTGGCAAATCTAAAAATTTGTCCAGATCTCAAAATAATTTTGTTCCTTCAAAATTATTATGTACAACGTTCAAATTGGTTGCTAGAAGATGAAAAATTTTTGCAGTATTCATTATATCTAAGCACCTTATATAATAATTTTGGTTTTACAAAATTATTTTTAGATTTGTATGTGTCAAATTTTTAGATTTGTCAACAAAACTGTTCTCTATGTCTGATGTCAGAAACGAGAAAACACATAATGAAAATCCCTGTAAAATACATTAAAATAAAAATATTTTTTATTAAAACAACATTGCAGTTGATAAAACAAACTTGTAAAGTACGTTGAAAACTTTCCTTTTGCTTCAGTAAACAATAATTATATATCTAGAGTTAAATTATGTCAAGAATATTATGTCCTAATTGAATTATTTCTTATTTTTAAAAAAGTTTCACTATATGTTTTCTTGCTTTTAACGTCATCCAAGATAACTAAGACAATTTTAAGGATAAATTAGTGTAATTATTTGTTGAAAAACTTTTATTATAAATCTTTTCTTTTCCCGTAACTGAATACCTGATTTCTTCACTATGTTCCTTAGAAAGATTGATTTCTCTCTTAGATTTCATTGACAAAATTGGTATTCCATTCCGTCAAATGATCGAATAGATTACTTCGCGTGTATGCCGAATGTATGTCGCTTTCGAGATGTGAATTGAAATCACAACATTGCGTTCTCTCGGTCAATGTGTTAATAAATTTCGAAATGTACGTGACGTCTTTTGTAACCTCTTAATAGAATTGATTTATAATTATATCTCTCATGTGATCACTTTTAAAAACATCTTTTATAAAATTTTGTATTTTATCTATCTTTTTTATATTTTTTTTATATATTCCATCTTTTTCTTTATCTAAAAGAATCTCTTTCATTAATCGTTAATATTATGTTTCAATTACTATAAGATGATTGTGAGATCATAGTCGTTATTTCTTACATTAAATAATTGAAGCATTTCTATAATAATGTTGTAAATTACATCGTCCGTTGCGTCCGATGCAGTTAGAACTTCTCGCGGTGAAGGTCGGTTGCAATTATCACCATTGACTTTATTCCGAAAAGAGAATCTACGTAAGCTACTGTGTGTACAAAAAAAAGAATCAGTCTTTAGAAAAGCGATTTTATGGAAGATCTGTCTTCGGAATATCGCAACGCGCTAATCGACTGTCGACTAGCGTTGTATCTTAGAATCTGTTGCTCTTGAAACTGTTTTGTTTAAACCTATTGTTTCATTATGCAATAGAATATCTTCTTCTTGAAAAATGTACGCATTAATTTTTAAAATAAATGCAATTATATAGCAACACGATTATTTCGTTTTTTTTACGAGATGACCGATCTGTATATTTTTCAGCTCGACGGAATCAATAGATGCACAGAGGTTCAAAAGTTATCGACACACTTTGTTTGTTTTCGCATTATCGAGCAGACAGGAACGACACGCTGTTTCCATCTTATTTTTTCACTTGATAATACGACTCGTTGCACGATCCAAGGGCCGAGTGCCAATTGAATACTTAAATGAAAAAATATGTTATTCTACAAAATCGGTATCGCTATTAACGATAAACTTGAAGATAGAAGGCACACTTGTTT